AGAAATATGTCTTTGAGAATTAGTTTTCTCGCATGTTTCGATCTCTAAGGATTTATCAAGAAGAAAATTTTAACATAACTTAAAATATAAAGAAGCTAAAATGCTAATCAAGCAATACTTAAAGGAGATGACCAGATATACATAAAAAAAAGTTGTTTTCCTGAAATTCTAGAAATAGGACAGTCATTCTCCGTACATATATTGTTACTAGGTTATAATTAATTTTTAGAAAAGATGTTCATGAAAACATTTATTTAGATATAATTTTGAGAAGAAAAAGTAATCATTATTTCCTGTTATTTGACGGGCATTTAGCTTGTATTTTTTATAAGCTGGAAAAAATCACAAAACTTATTTTTTTTATTAGACAGTCATTATATTTTATTTCAGAATGAAATTTGACTGTAATATTAAAAGTTTTTGCTTTATGTTGAATACTACTACGAAAAAATTTTGTACATATTGAAATTGATACTATTGTAGTGTTTTTTTTATATGTTTTTACTATATTTGCTGTAAATATTATGCAAGTTAATTGTAAAACCAGATGATATGTCACTTTTTATGTCAGTTTCATTTATTGGTCATAAATGGATCTTGGAGTTTAATACTTGTATTGATAGGGATTTGGGTTAGTTTTTGTTTGGTAGAGTACTATCTTTGCACAGTAGGTGATATGGTTACTAGTAATAATATATCTAGAAATAGATTTTAAATAAGTTTATTTTAGTTACATTAATTAATATGATATTTATAAACATACTAGCCTTGTCTGACCTGTCAACATAAAATGATGGGTTGGAATTTTGTTAAAAAACCTTGAGGGCCCCATCCTTCTTTCAACGAACTTTGTTCACCAAACTTTCCCCTTCACCGCAAAATAAAAACAATTACACATTGCCCTACAATAACTGACATTTAGAAAGAGCCTTAAATTACATTTAATATTAATTTTTTTCTTTTTTCTTACCTTGAAATTTGTTTCTAAAAAAATTCTTCTTCTGTGATTATTTTTTATAGGTATGTTGTTAATGGCTCAATACTTTATTGGTACACCAAATATTCTAATGACATCTGTAATGTATTCTAAATAATGATCTTCACACACCTACTGTGTACTGTTTTCGGTATTCATTTCTCCAACTAATTTACTCCCCTCTGCAGAAAACTGTCTTATATAATTAAGAGTGGTGCTAGTGGCACAAACAAGTTATTTTGCATAATTGGGACAGAATAACATTATAAATAAAATACAAAATAATACAGATATTACATCCATTTTTTCCTCGAATTTAACATGAGAAGTCTTCTGTAATGGTGTTGTTGTAGTTGTATAGCAGTAGTGTTCCTACATCACAAAAAGCACAAATTCAGAGCAGCAATCCCTACACTCTGTTGAGGTGATGTGGCTTTCAGCTCTTGACCTGACTGCATAACTTCCAATGATGTCATTGGCAAAGGACTTAGTATTGGTGATGTCACTGACTCTGGAATCGGTAACAACTCTCGTGACTTTGAGATCATTGGCATTGTAGCACAACAATAATTAGTGACTAAAGCTTGCTGTGGTTCTGCAAACTTTATGATGTGGTTTGAATCCCTCTTGTAGCAAACTTCCTCATCAGACTGGATGATGACCTGAATGCCACGTTTGTGAATTACAGCATATGGTTTGCATTCAAAGTTTGTTGACAATTTGTCCATCTTTTTCTACTGCAGTAAACCTTTGTCACCTACTCTAATCTTTGACTGTATACCCCTCAACTTGTTTAACTTTTCCTTTCTTCTTTTGCCAGATACATGTTTACAAAAGTCTGTGTCTGTCTTATTTTCTATAACTTGAGGTAACTTAGGTGTTAGCTGCCTATTAAAAAATATGTTGGCTGGTGACTTTCCAGTCGTTGTATGTGGTGTGCCACGGTAAGCTAACAAAAATGTATTTAATGAATGTCTCCAGTTATCACCACTAGCATGTGCTGTTTGTACAGCTTTCAAAATTGTTAAATTGTCTTTCCACTTCCTCGTTAGCTGATGGGTACAGTGGAGTCACTCTTTGGTGCTTGATTCCATGATCTGTCGTATACATTCTAAAAGTATCTGATGTAAACTTCCTTTGTCTGTCCATACTTTGTCTGGTAGACCATGATGTGCAAACATACTATCTAAATTATCTAGAACATTCTCTGTAGTGATAGGTTTCATAAGAGCCTGCTCTAAATAATGGATATAATACCCTACAACTATGACTGTATTCCTCCAGTTAAAAATGGTCCTAATAAGTCTGCTACTACATGTTGCCAAGGTTATTCTGGCAAAGGAGTAATCTGTAATGATCCTGATTTTGACAACGAACTGGCAACCTAACATTGATGGCAAGTTTTACATATATTTTCAACTTGTTTATTCATACGAGGCCACCATACTTTTTCTCGTAACCTAGCTTTAGTCTTAACAATGCCTTAATGGTCTTCATGCACTAAAGTGATGAAATCTTGCTGTAACTTTTGAGGTATAACTAATTAAGTACCACGTAACACTAAGTTATCAAACATGTTAGTTCAGGAAATATCATCTTGTATAATAATCTTATGATATTTGTAGCATGATTGAGTGTACCTGCTTGGATATACATCTGCAAATTAGTTAAATCTGGATCATCAGCAGAGATTTGTTCTACTTGATGATTTGTAAGTGCTTTTGGTACTGCAGATTGCGTAACAAAATAAATATACTCTTCCGTGATGACATTCTGTGGTTTATCTGTCATGGCAGTTTGCTACAGCCAGAACAATGAATCTGTCAACCTGGCTTATACCATACAGTGAAGGAATAAGGTTGCAAATGCTAAAACCCACCATTCTATACGTGCTGAAGGCTTTGATTTTTGTGAGTAGATGAACTCAAGCAGCTTATGACCTATGATCAATTCGAACAAAACCCCGTACAAATACAAAGAAAAATGTTCACTCACCAAACAAATGATAATGCCTCTTTTTTCAGGTTGAGAATAGTGCTTCTCAATATCTGATAAGCTATGACTAGCATGTGATATGACTTGAATTGACCATGTTGTTCCTGAATTACAATGGTTCCTAGACCCACTGGACTCACATCACAGAATACTTTGGTTTTACCATTTGAATCAAAATATGCCAAAAATTCTATAGATGCCATTTTCGATTTTAACGCATTAAACAACTCCTGTTGTAGGTCGCTCCAAACAAGCCTAATGTTTTTGCTGGTTAACTTACGCATCAATTCCACAACTGTAGTTTAACCCAGAATATAACGCTTACTGAAATTAACTAAGCTTAGAAAACTATGGACTTCCACTGATGTTTCTGGAAATTTAGTGTGGTAGTTGGACCTTTCTCCTATAACAAGTGTCCCATGAACACAAGCTGTAACAGTTTGAACTGTGACTTGTCTTTGTTTAGGGTCAAACGTTTTTCTTCATGTTGTGCAACACCTCATCTACTGTTGGGATTGGATGTCTGTCACACTGCACTGCCTCATTAGCTCTTCTCATATCTATACATAGCCTTATCTCATCCGAAGGTTTAGACATAACAATCACTGGACTAATCCATGGAGTAGGGCCTGATACTTTCTCGATTATATCCTTCTCTTCTAGCTCATTTAATTTTTCTTCTACTTTCTTATACGAACTAAATAAATTCTATGGATTGGTTGTGCTACAGGCTTTACTGTCTCATCAATGTGTAGTTCTAATTGATAATCTCTTAATTTACTAATGTCACTGAAACATTACCAATCTTTGTTAGGCTGTAACACTGCACTACAATTAGGTGTGCTGAGCATGGGTTATCAACACTGTCTGTCCATCAGCATGGAGTCCAATAATGACACTATTCTGAGTAAATAATCCCTGACATCTTTAGCTTGATAATCTCAGCTCTAATTACTTTGCTGTTTGCAGATTAAACAGAAATGTCCACAGTGAATTTTTCCACTATTTCAATCAGAGTTTTACTTCCTTACACATAGAGGTTTTTGTGAGTGACACCGGGTGTGCATGAAACACCACATCATCTGAGATAATTCCAGGCACTTTCATTGACGATATTACAACATTGTCAACGAAACTCTACCAACTACCAATCCTATGGTCAAGGTATTGTCATTACTGTTCAACAAAACAAAAACACATTAATTTTTTGACAACTCTGTACCATCACACAAATCATAATTAGTCATATAATTCACCTTTTTCTTGCGATCAGAACATATATTCTGTTTTGAAAAATTCTTAGTCCTGCACATGACTGCGAGATGCCCTTGAAAATGACATTTATTACAAATCTTGTCTTTAGTCACTTAGCAATTGGGAGCTATATGATTTGTATAACCATAGTGATAACAATGAACAGATGGTCTTTCTTTGACACCAAAGTCTGCCCTTGAAAATGACATTTATTACAAATCTTGTCTTTAGTCACTTAGCAATTGGGAGCTATGTGATTTGTATAACCACAGTGATAACAATGAACAGATGGTCTTTCTTTGACACCAAAGTCTGTTTTGCATATTAGAGTAGAATGCTGCCTTGATGTACTGTGCTTATCATGCTACCTCATGTCTTGTACTATCTGTACCCCATAACATTCTGACCAAGCTGTCTGCTGGTCTGTTATTTTTGCTGCTTGACTGATCTCTAATACCTTTTTTAAAAGTAAGATCTTCTTGTCTCATCAATCTTCTACATAAGTTGTGAGGTTTACACTTATCTATAACTTGATCCCTGATCATGTCATCATTTAAATCTACATATTCACATGATAAAACTAGTTGTTTAAGATGAGTAACATATCTACCAATATTTTCATCATTCTTGCTGAACAGCTTGTCGAAACAAAAGCACTATCCATTAGTGGCTTAAAATACGTGTCAAACTTACCCAGTGCTGTCTGGTAGGTATCTCTCATGACTGTGAAGGTTGAGAAAATATCCTAGCACATAGGTCCGATTATATGGAGAAAGTAAAGCCCTTTTCTGTCCTGCATCCATTATGCTTGTTGCAGTCAAATAATAGGCGACCTGCTCTTTCCAACTTTCCACCACTGAGGAATACTGCTTTGGTTCAAGCAGTCGAAAGGCTCGAGAGAAGTCAAATTTAATATTGTAGACATAGTCAGCTGGAAAGCTGATCCCATATTCGTCACCAAATGTAATGTTTTCTCAATAATGATCTTCACACTCCTACTGTGTACTGCGTTTGGCTTTTATTTCTCCAACTAATTTACTCCCCTCGGCAGAAAACTGTCATATATAATCAGGAGTGGTGCAAACAAGGTATAATTGGCACAGAATAACATTATAAATAAAATACCGAATAATACAAATATTACAACATCATTCTTTATAACTTGAGATTTTTGATTTTTAATGAATTTTTTATGTATTACCAAACGATAGGCAGTGGCTTTCATATATATTAGGTGATATGGGTTATAGTAATAGTCATTGTTTTGTTGTAGGGCAACCTCAAATAGAAGAACAAATGGTAGAGTATCTCATTGAAGATCTAGAAACACAGGTGAGATGTTATTACTATCAGGATACTTACTTTTAACATTTCCATCTAATTTTACTTAGATGAGACCAAAATCTACTCAAGGAAAGGATGGGGCACATTTATGTATCTTTGTTTAAATGTAAATTCTGAATTAGATATTACTTGTGTCATAGTTCTCACAGGTGGCAATTGTGAGTGAACGAGTTCCCTGCATCCTACATGTAGTTGTTTCGTTCTGTTATAGTGTCATGGCTTTTAAAAAATATGAACTTGTGTTAGAAAACTAAATGCCATAAAACTGGGCTTATAATAGGCTATTCATGTTATGAAACCATTCCATGAGTCTACCATTATTTTAGGTTATGGTCTCATCTAAAAGCACGAACATGACTCACTTTTTGTATCATCATCAACTAAAAAAAAGTAAGATCCTATTGGTCACTTAGCTATGGATATTTAATGTTTTTTAAGAATTATATAATTATCTAATTTTTTTAGTCAGGAAATTATATGTATGATAACACTTGACAATGATGGATCCTTCTAAGAGGTTTGCTTCTCCCCGTTATGCAACCAGAAATGCAATTTGTACTCACTCCCACCTTAAAGTACAGCTTGGCACCCTTGACAGATGTCATGCACTCAATTTAAATATAAACTTTATGGGAGCAGTAATTTAAACTAAGAAGGAAATGGCAAAATATCCTGACCTAAGTATAACCATTAAGATGCCATAAAGTGATGGAAGTTCTAGATATCTAAATCCAAATAACAATGTTATGGTATCAAATATGGGCTAATAATGGATAATTTGGTGTTAGAAATTATTTTTAGAATGGTGTTTTTATGTTACTAAATATGAATCCAAAATTAAATGATGATATAGATAGAGTCAGAAGGAAGTTTTTGTAGTTCTAGTTAAGGGCTTAGAAAATGATGTAGCTAGTCATCAGTATCCAGAAAAAGACTATGTTATGCAAAATATTGGTCAAGGTTAGAATGACTACTGTAAGAAGAATCTTTAAAGTGCTTTGTGGTGTTGGGTAACTATGCATAGAAGATTATGCATTTTAGGATATCAAACATTTGCAAGTAAAAAAAAAAGAACAATATGGTGTTAAGTATTCACAGAAAAATAGTTTTTTTGGAGACACACATCTATATTCAAAAGCAATTGGAAATTATAATTTTTTTTTAAAGAACCTTTACTTTAACATAGTGTTGTAACCCTTAATTCAAAAGTAATGTTGAAAGTTGATATTAAAATACTTTTAGTTTTTATATATGTTAGTTATCTAGTTAGCATTTTACATATTGGTGGTAAACTGGAGTGTGAAGATTATTTAATCGTTTTTTTTTTGTTTTGTATATTTTTTGAGTAACATTCATAAAACAAATATCAGAAACATACAATACTTTTAATAGATCCAGTTTTATTCCTAAAATGGTATGTTGCTATAACAGTGTAGCAGTTTATTTTTCACACTAGTTTTACTTACATTAGTTATGTTGTATTAATAACATATCATAAGATAACATAATATTTAGGGACAACAAGAGACCTATTGGTCTATCTAGGCTGTCATATTCACTAAACTAAAACTATTAAAAAAAACAACCTCAAAGCCAACCCTTATCATTCATATATTTATCAAACTTTCTCTTAAACTTACTTAAATCTACTGCCTCCACAACATCTGAAGGCAACCCATTCCAAAGGCCAGATACACTGTTAGAAAAATAAAATTGTCCAAGCTAAAAATGACTCCTACCCTGCCAAAACTTATATTTATGCCATAAGTCCTGTCATTCTTACCATTAGGCATAAAAAAAGATGATGCATCAACACTATCAATTCCATTAATAATCTTAAACACCTCGATCAGATCCCCTCTAATTCTTCTTTTCTCATGAGAACCCCTTGTATGACAACCCCTCCATCCTAGGCACCATTCTAGTAACCCTCCTCTGAATCCTTTCCAACAATTTAATGTCCTTCCTAAGGTAAGGAGCCCAACACTGAACACAGTACTCTAAATGTGGCCTAACCAGTGATCTATACAATGAAATTATAAATTCTTTAGACTTGTATTCAATATTTCAGTAGATACAACCTAAAATCCTATTTCCATAAAACTAGCAACAGCACACTGCTTAAATAGCTTAAGAGACTTATCAAACTGTTATACCAAGATCCCTTTCTTTCATCGCTATTATGGTTGTTCCCATCCAAATTATACTTATAATTCAAATTATGATAACCCATATGCATTATCTTGCATTTATTATAATTAAAACTCATTTGCCATTTATTCACCCAACCCACTAAATGATCTAAATCCTTTTGTAAATCAGTAACATCCTCTTCATAGCTAGCAACATCCAAGATTTTAATGTCATCTGCAAATTTAAGTAATTTATTGACCATTCCTTCATCTATGTCATTGATGTAAATCAAAAAGAGAAAAGGTCCTAAGACTGAGCCCTGAAGTACTCCACTTGTAACATTAATCCAGTTTGACTGAACTCCATTTATAACAACTCTCTGCTTTCTTCCATCCAGCCACTCTTCTATCCAATTTGCTGACTTATCCCCCACACCAATGGAGATAATTTTTTTTTTTTACAAGCCTTTTATGTAGCACTTTGTCAAATGCTTTCTTAAAATACAGATATACCAAATCTACACCCTTATCTACATAAGCATCAAGCTTTCCAAAGAATGTCAAAAGATTTTTAAGGCAAGATTTCTTCGTAGTGAAACCATGTTGAATATCCAGTAAAATTCTAAACTTTGTTATATGACTTTGCAAAGCATCTGTTATCAGATTTTCAAAAACTTTTTTCACAACTGATGTAAGACTAATAGGCCTATAATTACTGTTACAGTTTTTATCACCAATCCTCTGGCACCTGCCCACTATTCAAGGACTTACAAAAAATAATAGTAGCAAGTGGCTCAGATATCCAATCCTTAACCTCCTTCAAAACCCTTGAGGAAATATTATCTGGCCCAGGAGCCTTATCATTCTTTCAACTTCCCAGTTTTCTCTTAACAAGCCCAGAATTAATGTAGTCATCTTGTTTCTATCTATCAACTGCTCAAGATGAGGAATATTGCTTAAATCTTCATTTGTAAAAACTGCAGAAAAAGTAGAATTTAATAACCTATCAATCTCATAATAATCAGATACGAGGTGTCCTTAATCATCCCGCAAAGGTCCTACTTACCATCCTAACATTTTATTTACCCTTAATGTATTTAAAGAAATCCTCATTGTTAATTTTTACATTTTTCTGCCAATTCTTTTCATACATCCTTTTTGATGTCTGAATTTCCTGTTTGACCAACTCCCTTGATCTTCTATAATCTTCTAAATCTTCCCTCATACCAGTCAATTTATATTTCTTAAATTTGTGATGCATTTCTTTTATTTTATCTCTTTTACTATTTGTGAGCCAACCCGATTTTTTACTTTCAGCTACCCTTTTCTTTCTATAAGGAATATATTTACATTGAACATTTAAAAATTTATCTTTAAAAGTTTTCCACATTTGATCAGTGTCTCCAAATAACTCAGCTTCCCAATTCACAAGTTCTTTTTACATCCCTTCTAAAATTTGCTTTTTTGAAATTTGTAACCAAAATATCATTATTACTGATCTCCATATGCAGCGAAACACAGAACCTAATAGAGCAATGATCACTTGCACCTGGATGTTCCCCAGTTTTCACCCACTCAACCACTTCTATATCAGAAGTTAACAATAATAGAATGATTATAGTAACTGTTTTAAACCTATTGCTATAACTTTTTTAATACAAGTGGTCCACCCCTCCACCCAAAAATTATCCCCCATCAATTATGTCTATAGTACAGTGGTCCCTTAATACTTTTGTTGCTTCTTATCTACATAAGACATTTGACAGATAAAATATACTTCGAGGATACTTTAATGATTCAGTGATCCAAGTGTTCTATTTTGGATTGTTTTACAGGGATGAATGAGATATTTCCACATACATCTTGTAGTGCAGGTTATTCATGATTCAATGATCCAAGTGATCTATGATATTTTGGATTGTTTTACAGGGATGAATGAGATATTTCCTTATACATCTTGTAGTGCAGGTTATTCATGATTCAGTGATACATGATTCAGTGATCCAAGTGATCTATTTTGGATTGTTTTACAGGGATGAAAGTAGATATTTCCTTAT